ATGATCCATTGACCATGATTATCTCCGAGCCATGAATCTCATCTTCATAGGGTGTGCCGGTGGAGCTACTGGTTCGACTGGTGCCGCTGGCGCCTCTGCTGGAGGGTTGATTGGTGTGAACCCAATGGGAGGGACCTGATGAGCAGGGGGCGCAGCCTCAGTGGGAGGCGCCACGTGGGCTGGAGGAGCAACTGCCGGGGCTTCGTGAACGAGAGGGGCAGCGGCAGGTGCATGTACCGGCATGGCCTCAGCAGGAGGCGTATGAACGGGCATTGCCTCGGCTGGCGGCGCTGGGTGAACCGGCGGGGCTACCGGGGCAGGGTGCGCGGCCGGTGGAGGTGTATGTACCGGAGGAGCCATGGTGTGGGCCGGCGGGGGAGCTTCATGAACCGGCGGTACTGCTGGTGCCGCTGAGGGATGCACTGCCGGAGGTGGGGAGGGTTGATGGCCCAAGACTGGCGCTGCGATTGTTGTTGCGCAGTGGCTGACCGTCTGGGTGACATGGACCGTTTGATGGATGACTTGGGGAGGTTGTGTTCTGTGTACCGTCTGCGCAGGCTGAGGAACATGAACCGTCTCCTTGATGATGTGAGGAGGCTGCGTAACGTGGATTGTTTCCTTGACAACGTGGGGAGGCAAAGTGACATGAACTGTTTCCTTGACCACCTGCGGAGGAAGGGTGACATGTACCGTCTCCTTGACGACCTGAGGCGGCAAGGTTTGGTGGATTATCTGAGGAGGCAAGGTAACGTGTATAGTCTCCTTGACTGGAGGCAAAGTGACATGTACGGTTTCTTTGACGATTTGAGGCGGCAGAGGCGGCAGAGTCTCCTTAATTATCTGGGGAGGCTGCGTGACGTGAACCGTCTCCTTGATAACCTGAGGTGGTTGGGTGATATGTATAGTCTCCTTGACCACTTGAGGAGGCAAGGTGACATGGACCGTCTCCCGGACAGGAGGCAGAGTGACGTGAACGGTTTCCTTGACAATCTGAGGTGGCAAAGTCTCCTTGATGATTTGAGGTGGAAGAGTCTCCCTGATGATTTGAGGAGGTTGAGTGATGTGCACCGTCTCCCTGATGATTTGCGGTGGCTGAGTGACGTGGATTGTCTGAGGAGGCAGAGGAGGTAAAGTAACGTGTATCGTCTCTTTCACCACCTGCGGAGGTTGAGTGACGTGAATAGTCTCTTTAATCACCTGGGGAGGCTGGGTGACGTGTATCGTCTCCTTGATGACTTGAGGAGGTTGAGTTACGTGAACAGTCTCTTTAATCACCTGAGGAGGCTGAGTGACATGGATTGTCTGAGGGGGAAGGGTAACATGGATTGTCTCCTTCACAGTTTGAGGAGGCTGAGTGATGTGGACGGTCTCCTTGACCACCTGAGGAGGAAGAGTTTGGACCTCCTTCTTCGTTTCTGTGATGTGTATTGTCTCCTTCACCACCTGTGGGGGCTGAGTAATATGTACGGTCTCTTTGATTGTTGTCGGAACATGAACCGTGACGTGTACGGGTATCTTTTCGTGGATAGTCTCGATTTGGTGTATCGTCGTCGGGACGGGAACGTGGACTGTCTTCACTTCTCCCGGTAGCGTGACGTGTACCGTCTTGTGAATTGTTGTAGGAACATGAACGGTCTCGTGGACGGTGTGCACAATCGTCTCGGTCTTGGGCTCGCATTGCTGCTGGGCTGGAGGCGCTGGCGGAGGGTTGGCGGCTGCCATAGTCGACAGGGCGAGCCATGAGATGACTCCGTATCGTGTGAGCATCGTGTCTTCGTCGAGTAGTAAGGACTGTTTGAATAAGACTTGAGCTGATTGTCGTTATTGAGCAAAGAAAGAAAGACACAAGAAGGAATAAAGGAACGTATGAGGTCTGAACGAAGTCGAGATACCGGTCTCTGGATGAAATGAATCGAAGTAAACAAAATGTAGCCAAGTGATGAAATCACGAGATGGCTACCGAGAAACGAATGAAGACGGGCGCGCGGGTGAATGGAAGAGGTGGTGACAGTCCTGCTGATCACTGCAGACCAAGAATGGAAGGGGGAAAAGTCATTATATCAGGAGGGGTCTGGTTCATCGTCGCCTTGGCTGATGAACATGGCCCGCTGCTCGCAGCATCCGGTGCACGGAATCTCGGATGCACGGGTTGTTGTGATGGCACGTCTTTCTGGATCTAGGTCAGGTCTGGGCATGGGACTGTTGGAGCTTGGTGTGAAGGAGTCGCGCGAGGTATCGTCATTCGTGGAGTGCTGTGACGAGGGCCCTAGGCGGATGTGTAAGAGACGACGCGGTGCTCGATGGTGTCCATGGTGATGTTGGACTCAACCTGGCAGCGGTGAGCGTGTTATTCAAGATCGGGTACAAGTTGGACTAACAAGTCAGCTGCGTATGTCTTACCACCCAAGATGGGATCAAATGTCGCTCTGCCATCCGAAGAGTGATGGTACGGATCCGCAAGAAGGGATGAAAAACTAGGGACGCTCTGTTTTAGGTTTGCGGCTCTCGCAGGGGAGTATAGCCAGGGCTGAACCTGACGAGCAAGTGAGGTTGAAGAACACCAGGGCACAGGCAGTCGCGAGGCTTGGCCCGGATGCACGGGAGGCTTGGTATGCTTGGGGGCACAGGGGGTAGCTTTCCTCGCCTTTGTTGACCCCTTAAGATCAGAAGTTCTTGTCCGGAATCATATGCTGCCGTTCGTGAGCACGAAATCTCCTAGTTCTCCTCATGGCTGAGCTGAAAAGATGAAACTGAGAATCGTCGGATGATCGTGGCTCTGCAAACGGCTTCCAAGGCAGTAGGTTCTACAATGGCAAGTCGATCGCGATAATCATTCTTCCCAAGAGATCACCGTGATAGAATGTTGGTTGGCCAAGGCTCTTGGTGTTCATGCCATGATGGACACATTGACAACCAGGTAGCAAAAGTTGTTAAATCCCCTGGGTCGCCGCACAACTTTCTTCTTTCTTTGCGGTTCTGAAGGGTGAAGTCTGGTATCGCCTGAAGCCATACGGGAATGTTTTCTTCTCCACAGACATCCACCCCCACGAACGGAACCTGACACACGTCAGCAGCTATATCCTCAGGCTTTCCGAGGACGAGACGAACGTGGGTGGTGGCGTTCATGGATGATCGGGAAGCATGGTTCACTACATTGCAACGTTGGTGGAAAGCTCACCAAGCTTGCGAGTCCCAAGCTCCTAGTGCGTGTGATGGGCTAGTTGAATTCTCCAGGTTAGGCGATGCGAAACCCCCGCCAAGATTAAGCCCCTGTAAGAGCCACAATTGGAGATCGCGAGCAGACATAAAAATTGGGCTGTGCGAAACAAAATCAGGTGAGATTCCACTTGGAAGCCTAGCTGATGGACCAAACCAGGGCAACAGGATGATGCCTTGGGATGGTTCCGAAGTTTCGAAAGACTGACAAGGGGAAGTTGTCGTGGTGGTTAGCAGTCAAAAGAGGTTAGGTTGGAGAAATTGGAGGTGACAGAGGCATAGTTTGGGTTAAGCATTAAGGTTATTTTGTTAGTGACCTCATCTGGGGCCCGTCCGCCCCCCTTGAACGGTATCCCGGCCGCTGGTCGGCTTCGAGGTGACCCGGACCCCTTGCGAAGGCCACGCAGGGGTCGAATCTATGGGATACGGGTTTTTTCGCGCGGTCTTACATTATCATCGTTGACATCTGGAAATCAGTAGATACGACATTGCTCACGTTTGCTCAATGCAATTGTTTAGCATTATTAAAACCTTGTGAATCCCTGGTTGTCTTACGAAACTCGGCTACCCCTACGCTTCAGATGTACGAGTCAGACGCCAGCAAGAATGGAGAGAGCTGTCATAACGGTCGAATCGAAAGCGGAGATGGACTGTCCATTTCAGCGAAGCCATTTTCAGACACGGTTCAAAAGCTAAGGTACTGCCAGGAAGTCGGATGGTTGGCTTATGTTTGCTGAGTGGCAGCTCTCGTACATGCACTCTCTCGGAGTATTGAAGTGCATATTTCTACCACAACAGCTTGTACGTGCAATTGTTATTACATTTCTCAATCGATAGTTGGGTAAATGTACATGTGATCCGCCTTATGAAAGTTGAATGCATTCCATAAACATAAAACTTCTCAAAGTCGAAAGCTCAGGTCTTGCATATAGAGCCTTTAGCACCTAGACAGGAGTCAACACAGTGATCAGTCATGTGCTGTTGTTGTGCGAGAGCATTGGCTCTCAGTGATCGCACAGTCCCACCGCTGCATTATTATTAGTTTGACTTCATGATGTGCTGAATTGTCCCGAAGAAAAGTGCTTGGCCATTTACATGTTTCTACAGGATATCGCGGTGAAGATAGTAACACTTCAAAGATAATTGACATCAAACTCAGCAGTGCTACAGGTAACCTCATGTTTTCTCAGGCTACAGTGTCTTATCTAGCTCGGCTTCTAGCTCCCTTGTGCCCGTCTCAAATGTTACAACCTGGAGAAGTGGCGTTTGGCGGGGTCGTCGGTCTCAGAATCCGATTCCCAACCCATTTTGGTAGAACGGGTTTCGGTATTATCGACTATCCACCAGAACTTGGAATAGGAATTCCTTTGCACATATGTGCTGAGTTGCCTTTGATCCTCCCTTTGAGGAACTATGTCAGTGCGGCTTGTCAAGATGGGAGCTTGCTTGCAGTGCTCTAATCCCTCACATAATCAACCCCGCTTTGACTCTTGGTCGCTAAAAAAAGCTGACGACTTTTCCAGAGTTACTTCACTAGATCATCCATCTGATCTACACTGCTGCACTCAGCTTGAAAAAACGATTAATCAACATGCAGTATGCCTCGATCCTCGGTTAGCGTGATGGCTGTCTTCAAAAGGCCGATCGGCTTTGGGGCTGGCTTCCGTCATTCGATTAAAATAGTCAGTTAAACCACTGTGATATATAGAACTACTGCGCAGAAGCCACTCGCATTGCTGTGATCTCACCCATCATTCTGCTACAACAACCCGAGTCATATAGAAATGGCCGAGCTGAGATCCGCCGTCTACGTCGCACCGCCGATTCCCAGCAAAGTTCCTGGCTCGAACGCAACCGCAACATGGTCCCCAATCTCATGCACCCTCATCTACTCGGCAAACGAAGCTGTCTTGGTAGACACGCCCATCACTATCAAGCAGACAGAGGAACTCATTGCCTGGATCGAGAACATTGCACCAAAGCGGAAGCTCTCATACATCTACATCACCCACGGCCACGGAGATCACTGGTTCGGCATACCTCTCCTGCTGAAGCGCTTCCCGGAAGCCGTCCCCGTCGCTACGGTGGGAACCATCAAACACATGGAGCAGCAGATTGAAGATGAAGTCTTCAGTCAAATGTGGGAGGCCCGCTTCCCAGGCCAGATCTACCGCCCCTTCACTCTCGCACAGCCTCTGTCCCCAAAGAGTGGTGGAACCTTCAAGCTCGAAAACCGGTGGGAGTTCAAAGCTATTGAGTGTGGCCATACTGACACCTATGACTCAACCGTTCTCTGGGTCCCCGACCTTAGACTCGCCGTCTGCGGTGATGTAGTCTATGGGCAGTGCCACCAGATGTTGATGGAAGCCAACACGAAAGCCAAGCGCGAGGAATGGATCAGAGCAGTCGAAATCGTTGAGGCACTTGATCCTGCTTATGTTGTGGCTGGTCACAAGATGGCGGGTGAGACTGACGGAATCTGGCACCTTGCTGCGACCAAGAAGTATATACAGGACTTTGGAAAGATCCTCGAAAAGAACCCTAAGACTGAGAAGGAGCTGTTTGTGGAGATATTGAAGATGTATCCCGAGAGATTCAACCCGGGAGCCGCGCGTTTGAGTGCCATGGGTGCCTTCCAGGTTCCAAGGGAGTCACGTATTTAGGATGAGGTGCACGAGGGAATGATAACAATTCAGTGACGGTTGCCGTTACATTCTAAATGCGTCAACGATGATTGATTGATATGTCGTAATGTGCCAATTTTACGTTTTGAGAGTGAATGTCCGTCGCTATGCCACCGGAAGAATGAAATGCGACAGTAGAGTGGCACCATCTTGAGCTGGATAGCGCGATAATTCGTACGCCATTTGCGTAAAGGTTTCTGGTCAATTTACCGACGTAAGAGCAGCAAGTACTATACCGTTGATGTGTGTTTGCAACTCAGGAGAATTCCGAAAGCATCACCAGCGCGTCTCCAATATCTGCTCCTTGCCATGTATTTGTGATCCAGCATCAACTAATGTCGCGAACCTCGGTGTTCATAGATCCTGTTTGGCGTAATGATCGAAGACGAGTAGAGCATTGACACCTGATTGCGGGGTTTGCATTGCGAGGGCACATCGGTGTGACGTTTCAAAGCACCATCTCTTGATCGACGCTGGTTCGGAAGCTCTGATTACTGATATACATCGGCCTCGCAGTCGTGGCATGCACGGATCCCGTTCTGGAGCGGTGTTATCCCGCATCGGCCGGTAATAGCGAAAGCCGGCCGGCGCCTCGCCAGTCTGAATATCAAGAAGACTATTTGTGTTGATTAATGTATAATAAATACAAATATAGTTCGCCGCCAACCATACATATGTTAATCATCGTCAGCATCTTATCAATCAAATCAACAAAAACGATTCAAAATGCCTAAATGGGTCTTCAACTGCAACACCGGCATCTTCACCACCGCCGAAAAGAAACAAATCGCCGAGGGCATGACCAAACTCTACACCAGCGTCGGTCTACCCGGATTCTACTGCCACACGCACTTCATCGAGCTCAACCCCGAAAACATGTACGCCGGCGGCGAGACGCCCAAGGCCTTGACGACCGTCTCCATCTACCACATTGCGCGCGGCTTCGATACCCCGCAGGTCGAGGCTTTCTTCTTCAAAGCTCTGGATGATATACTGAGGCCCATCTTGAAGCCAAAAGGGATCGAATGGGAGTCTGGGATTTATGAGGCGAGGAGGGAGTTGTGGAGGATTAATGGGCTTGTGCCGCCTGAGACGGGGTCGGAGATGGAGAAGAAGTGGGCTAAGGAGAATCGAGTTACGGATGAGGAAGATTTGTTGAAAGTTCAGAAGCTTTCTAGATTGTGATCCAAAACATCGAAGCCTTGTATTAGGTTTGGGCAAAAGGTACTAGGCAAAGCCAAAGAATTGAGCTGGTCTCAATTCTCGACATGTAATAGTTGTCAAAGCCTTGAAATTGGCCCCCCTTACGTGACTCTCCAGCCATCTCTTGATCGGATAAATCAATACTTCATACACATTATCATTACTAAAACTTGCACGTAGCCTATGAAACGCAATCAACTTTAAGCTGTGGTAGTGGGGTCAGACCCAGGAGGTGCGGCCCCAGCACCTCCAACCACAATAGAGAAGACCACTGGCGTGTTTGGCAGGATCTCGGTCGTTGCAATGGACACGAGATTCGAGCTCGTTATGGTAGGTGTCGTTGTTATAGTACTGGGAAACGTCGTGGTGCTGGGTGTCTGAGGGTCTGAAGAGCTCGCCGGTGAGGCTGGTGAGCTTGACGGAGAGCTGGAAGGCGTAATAGACAGGGAGGATGATTCAGGAGATGAGGTTGCCCGAGAGGTGGTTGAGGCACTCGCTGGTGAGCTTGACGACGAGCTGAGTGTGGATAGGGATGTCGAGGAAGTTGGCGAAGAAACCGGGATAAGTGAATTGGGCAAAACCGTAGACGAGGAGGTCGACAATTGAGTGGATGATGAGGAAGGCGGGGCGGATGAAGAGAAGCTCGATGTCGTCGTGGACCGGGAGCTTGAAGGGGCAGTCGTGGACGAGCTTGATGCACTCGAACTAGAGATGGCGGGAGTCACCGATGGCGGCAGCGATGAAATGCTTGTCAAGGTGGTTGAAGGCAAGGTGATGACCGTGGTGGAGCTAGACGGCAGTACTGGGGGCAAAGTCACGGGTGTGCTCGTTGTGCTCGTGCTTGGGCTAGGTTCCGGGGTGAAGGTGGTCGAAGCAATCCTGGATGTGTTTGTGAAGGGGAAAGGCACCGTAAGAGAGGTTGACGTTGATGACGTTGAAGACCTTGTTGAACTACTTGATGAGCTTGTAGAACTTGAGGAGCTTGTGGTTGAAAAAGGCGAGGTTGATGGGACCGCAGCGCTGGAGCTGGAGCTGCTTGTAGTGCTTGAGCTTGTCGTACTGCTAGACGAAGATGATGACGATGACGGACTCATAGAGGTCGACGTGCTAGAAGGGCTGGAGCTGCTTGAACTACTGCTACTCGTTGCAGACGACGTAGGAGAGGGGGTGATGGATGAACTCGACGAGGAGGTTGACGAGCTTGTCGTGCTCGAAGACCTCGAAGAACTGGAAGATGTCGTGGAACTGCTAGAGCTTGAACTGGATGTAGTTGAAGAGATCGTCGAGTTGGAATATGTACTCGTTCTGGAGCTGCTGGGGCTTGAAGAAGGGGATGAGGTGATCGACGAAGTAGAAGACGAGCTTGTGCTGGTTGAAGTTGTCGAGGAACGCGTAGATGATGATGATGATGACGACGAGCGGGAGGAAGAAGATGAGGAGGAGGAGGAGCTCGTGGACGAGCTACTCGATGACGAAGTCGTACTTGTGGCCGTTGATGACCTGCTGGAGGACGTTGAGGTACTGGATGTCGTGCTAGTGGTCGAATTCCCACTTGACGACAACGACGACGAACTAGAAGAGGAGCTGAAGGAGCTGGTGGTAGTCGTTGTACTTGAGGTCGACGATGAACTTGAAGTAGTAGAGGTCGAGGACGAACTCGAAGATGAGACCCCGAGAGCCCTCACTGCAAACACCTCGTAGATGACAGTTCCAGTACTTGGACCACCACAGGAGTATCCAGTATCAAAGTAACAGGATGTCGTGCACAGGTTATCATCGGGTCCAGTCGAGAAGATGGGATTGATATCCTGAGAAGAACTCGGACCCGGGGTGGAACAATAGCACTGTTGATAACCGCCTATGAAAGCAAAGTTTGACCCGAAAGAACTACAGGTCTGCTGGCACTGTGTAGTGTTGCCAATCGCGTAAACGTAGTTTGTTCCGACAGTACCAAAGTTACTAATGGCACCGCACCCTCTGTAGCTGTAACGGAAGCGAGGAGCTCTGTGTTGGAGGGTTGTGGTTGGTGCCGCACTTGTGGTGGTTGAAGTCGAAGTCCGCGTGGAAGACGTCGAAGAAGAGGTAGTCGTAGACCTTGTGGAGCTGCTGCTGGTCGTTGTGGTCGTTGTGGTTCTAGTAGAGGACGTCGATGTCGAGGTTCTGGACGTGCTGGTGGAGGTTGATGATGTAGTGGTAGACTGGTAAGCAAATTGGCGAACCCCATAGACGTTATAGATGACATCGCTCCCATAAGTTCCTCCACAAGCGTATGTATTGTTGTTGACGCAAGCAACGTTGCAAAGAGCGGCGTTGGGGTTTGGCACCGATGCGAGAAGAGGACTCGGTGAGCTGTTCGGGGTGTTAGGGTCCGAACACCAGCACTGCTGACCTCCGTCGTTTCCTGTAGCAGAGAACGCAGAGCCGTAGGAGCTGCAATCGCTCTGGCAGCCGATGACATCGCCTTGTTCGTAAGAGGTGACATAGGGAAAGACTGAAGCGAAGTTCGTGATCTTGCCGCAGGCGCCGTAGATAAAGTTGTACTGTGGTGAGGCCTGTGTTACTGCGTGAACGACGGGTGATATGAGTCCCAGGCCGGCGGCCAGGATCTCGAACTTAGGTATGTGCATGCTCAGTTATGATTAACAGAAGGTCGTAAAAGTAGACCAACGGTTCACAGCAGTGCCCTCCCTCTGGTGCGAAAGCGAGGGTGGCTAGGTATGCCTGAGTTGGAGTACCATTAACAGGCGGTAACTTGCAAAAGATTTGACATGAAGAGGAGATCCTGAGCTGAGGGGCGCCAGGGAGCCGGAGGATCTGGCCAGGTATTTGATCGGGCCGTGGTAACCTAGATGGCATCACATGGAATCGAAATCCGGCTCAGCTGCTTCGGAACATCATCAAATTGGGCCGAGTCCTTTCGAACTCGGTTCAGTTCTTGGCATGGAACTACATAACAAAACGCGTCTAGCACATCATCCGATATGAACGCCTCTCGCGCCCAAGGCCCGAGTCGAGGGCCGACCAGAGAGGGGGGGAGATGGTAAGGCACGGAGAGGAAGCATAAAGAGAAATGATGATCACGGCGGATTAAAATTGCGGGAGAGGCCCTCATCGTGAACGGTTGAGACGTTAATTCTAATCCAGGTTCCAGTCTGTGTCTCGATCAGACCTTGGACCCTGAATCCTGGGCAATTCGGTCCAGGATTCAGTCTTTCTTGGACTAAATTGGCAAGGAGGCAAGCAAATCTGCGTTCCAAACCGCTTCAGCCCTGAATAGCTCGCTCCATTTTCACGATGCCTGCCATCCAAAGTGAGTTAATACGGTGGGTCTTCTCGGACTCTTTGCTCCCTTTGAATGATGCTTGAAGCTAATTGTTGACAAACCCGCCGGCTCGTATTCCAGGTCAAAGTAGCCTCTACCGGCATGTTGATACTTGGCAAAAACCGTGTGCCAGCAAACCGGGTAGCAGGATCGGGTGTAACATGAACCGTCCAGACCGTGTAACCTGCTCACATTCCAACGGTTGAATCCACGTGAGCCCACGCATAGCAATACCACACGCCACCATTCCCCTTGCTTCCCTCCCTTGGTGCGGTGCGGACCGGACCTGATACGCCACGGACCCCCAGGGACGCCTTCAGGGCTCTTTGAGAGGTGAATTGAATCGTGGAGCCTCGCGCTCAGCTAGCCACTCGTGTAACGGTGAAAACTTGATCGATGTGGGAAGCAAGTGCTGCGCAAAATCAACGTCACTCATGTACCCGGCTGAGAAACGGTTCTTAGATCGTCAAGAGGATGCGATAACTTTATTGATAACTATGCCTTATCCTCAAGTGGACAGGGCCAAGCAGGCATCGACAGCTTGCCCGACTCTTCCCTGTTTCTGGTGTACCACGTCCGAAATTATCTCCCTGTCAAGATCGGGAAACATCCCTTGCAGAGTCTCGACAACGTTATTGTGCTCTACCCTGCTCAAACGCTGAGCTTCAGCAACTTCGGCGCTTGCCTGCCTCGCTGCAGCTTCTTCCGCTGACAAGTGGTGACGGGAAGATGGTGGCCGCCCATCGGGTGATATCTCGGCGCTCGGCCTAGGCGACAGTCGCTCGGAGGATTCTCGCGGCCTCGACGTCGGTCTTGATGCGTTACTAGGTACAGGCGGCGCAGGAGACGGCTCATCCGAAAACATGCGGCCGATTGTGCTAAGAGGCTTCTGTATGGAACGAAGAAGCCCCGTTATGGGAGCTTGGTCGTCTGATTCTTTTCCGCCTTCGTTCGATGACGTCGATCGACGGGGTGTGGACGACTCTCCCATGATGTCTAGGGAAGGCCTCGTCGAAGATTCCCCGGTCTGGTACCCGGTTGATGACTTCTCCGAGAAGACGGGTTCTTGAGCAACAGCGGGCGAGTCAAGACGGTGTTTTTCAGCGATCGCAGATACCGCTGCTTCGACGTTCTTCTCGAACTCTTCGTCGGTGATGGTTAAGGTTGTCCGATCCATATTTTCGATAAACTGAATGGCACCCATCTACGTCACGTAAGCATTGTGTAGCGTAGTTACAGTCACAATGTGACCTACCAGTGATGAAAGGTAGTATCCGGCTTCACCACCCAGCTTCTCCTGGTTTCGGAACCGCAAAATGTACTGAACATTTGACACCAGATGTTCAGGGTTGGCTTGGAGGACAACATAGATGAGGAGGGGCATAAACGAGTCGGCTGAAGAGTCCGACTTTGAGTGCTTGAGCAGGCCTATCAAAGATCAGTCCCCAAAGTAGCGACATGATGAAGAATAGCGACATACCGAAGATAACTTTGCAACAGTTCAATACGCAAATGATCTTGTCTCGCGGCGCTCGATATGACTTGATCTTAAGGATTTCTTTGCACAGTCAGCGGTCAGAGCTATGTTGAGATTGGGCGAGTAGGTACCTTGTTGGGCGAGCTTCAAAAATCGCTTGCCGCTATCACCGGCTGGCGGTATGTCAAGGTGCTCCTCCCGAAGCCAGGCATAAATGTTGATCTTTTGTGTCAAGATATCATCTCGTTCCACGTCCTCTTGGTGTTGACCACGCCGGCCAGGCCCCATTGGTCGCTCCCCGCCTCGTCTTTTCGGTTTCGCCCCAGGTATAGGCTGTGGAGGAGGAATCGCCGGTGAGAATGTCTGCGTGTAGAGCCTATTCATGACCAGCTTCTCCATTCCTTCACGAGCATTGTCAAACTCTGCGTCGGAAACGTCTCGCCACACTTCACATTGCGCCATCTTGTTGGCAATGAAGGCGAGGAAGTCACTGATGATTTTGACTTGCTCGTGTACCATCCACTGTCGCTTTCCAAACTCTGATAAAAAGGACTTGAGGTATCTAGCGACTGGGTCCGCCTTCTTGTTTCGTAGTTGTTCTAGGAACCGATGGAAGTCGAATGGCAGCGCCGGCTCTGGCTCGGGTTCAGGGGGTGGCGGCCTATGTACGGGCATACCAGGAGACATCTGGGAGTCGATGCTCATCTGCCGATCATCGTGGGACCGCGCTGGTGTCGCCGGTGGCCCGTCTTTAGGAGGCACTGGCGGCCCTTGGTCATCAGGTGCTCTTTCTTTGGAGAACATGCTAGCTGGGGAGGCTGATTGTATTCTTAGACCCTGAAGCTCCTGTACTTGGTGTGACAGTGAGGGTGCCAGTGGCTCGAGGCTAGACTTCCGAGGTGGATGCTGTATGCCAGGGCTACCTAGCATAGGCGAAGCAATCTCCAGCCTTGGGCTCATGACTTCTTCAGCTCCAGGACCCCCACCGTCGCCAGTAAACTGCTCCATGATACTCTGGATTTCGGATCGCGACCCATTCTCTTGCTCATCTTCGCTTGCATATCTGCGCTCGTCGTAGCCGGCATCAGATCGTGTAGGGGATGCAGAGGTAGGTCGGCGTTTGGCATTTGAGGGGGTTCGAGAGGGAGGCTGGGATGTTCTCGGGGTTGGAGGTGTTGGATCGACATATGTAGTGGACTCGATAGTAAGAAACTGTGTGGCAGTCTCGGCAGGGAGAGGACTCGTGGGCTTCAAGGTCGCTATCGACGAAGTCATCGGTTCCGGAATTGTCACGGGAGCAGGTTTGGACACGATCTTGGGCGAGTCCTTGTGAGATTTATCGCCCACGCTTGGGTCATCTTTCGTGGTGGTCGTTGTGACCGGGGCGTCTTCGCCAAAATCGATCAGATCATCGGTCGCTTGTTGTTTGCCTGCTGCTTTTGCTGACAGCACGGGCTGTTTGTCTTCAACATGGTTGTCAAGCTTGAGCAGCTCCGTTTCAGCCTTGGACCCCGCGGTCTCGGCGCTCGTCACCTGGGCGGCGGCAGTATCATTCTGGGGGGCGCCAGAGAGGCCGGAGGAGTGATCTGTGGGATCTGTAGAAGACATACACCACAGATATCGTGGAATATCGTTGTTCGTTTTTGGTGAGCTTTAGTCAAGCCGAGCAGCGGGGTTCGGCGTCGGTTTGGGAGAGGCGAGGCTCGAGCTCAGCAAAAGGCGGAGGGAGGAACAGTCGCTGACATGCAGGTGTGGCGGTGGGATTAGTCGAGCTGTGAGGGCCGTGGCTCGGTGTAGAATGGAAGCAAAGATCGAGAATCAGCAGATCAAAGACCCTGGCTGCAGATGGGAGGTGTTTGAAGGTTATCGGTGGGAGGTGTGTTGCTGAGCTATCACGGGAATGGGATCAGCAGTCCAAGGTAGCAGTGGGTTGGCCGTGTAACGGCGGAGAGAAGGCTGAGAATGTTGGTGTGCAACGGTAGAGATCCCCACAATTCGTGGGGTGTGGCGGGCCTGGAACTGCACGCTCGAACGCTCACACGCTAAGGTACGACGAGTGACTGACAGCAGGAAAGAGAGCGGGCGACTTTTGGCCAGAGTTTTGCCGGAGATCCAGGGTCCCCAGGTGCAGAAGGTCCGACCGACGTCACTCAGGTCCCTTCCCGTCCTTCTTTCCTTCCCTTCTTCTAATTCCCAAGTGGGGTTACCGGAAGTAATATTGTACCGTTCCGGTCTATACACGTGACCCTGAAGTCATGCCGTATCGGAGCCGAGCGGGACCAGCTCTAGACCGCCCGGATCCGGATGGCTCCACTGCACGCCGTCGAGTCCCCGCTGTCGTTCCTGGCTTGTTCTTCCGTCCCGGCGCACGGAGCTCCTCTGAGGCCTGTTACGTCTCATCTTCCCCTGACATCGGCAGGGAATCAACCTTACCTGTTAGACCTCAACCTCGGCCCATAAACACTGCATCGCCGCCGTCGATTCATTGGTGCACCAGAGGAGCTGAACCGCCCATGAATCCAGTAGAATTTCTGCTCTCTCCTCCCATTTATGATAAGAATCAATCAACCAAACTGTCGGATCGGCGCAAGGGAGCATGTCTCAAAACCTCTCGCAGGTCTTTCTTATTCGGGGTGCTTTGACGGATGGATTTCACATCTTTCTCATTTTGTTTAATCTCCATTCCTCTGCGACTGCACCGTTGACTGACCCACGGCCGAGCAAGCAAACGTTTTTGACATCTTCTTGCTTTTGCTCACCGTCCGGTCGGTATTCCTTCAATGAGCCAGAACAGCCCATCTCCATTTTATTTATTTCGTCTGCCCTCTCGGGGTCCAGAACTCTGCGTTTCCCGCGTCCGAATCCCGTTGTCTGACATTACGCTCGGTCCTCTGACAAGTGTCAAGCGGCGAGACCTTCTTTCTTCTCCAGCCCAAAAGAGGATTTGACTTGACCTCCCCGAGCCGGCCGAAGCCCACCACACCAGACGTCAGACCCGGGATGAGAGCGTGAAGTCTTACCTGTCAGAACGAAGCGCTGGTAGTGGGCAGCGCGGGCTCTGAATCGCCAAAAAACCTTCGGGCTCATCCTTGTTCAGGAGTCTGCTTTGTGATCAGTTTCTCGTTTCGATCCGGTCATCTCAAGTTTCAGGTTGGAACTTCTAGAACGTATCCTGTTCCTCCCAACTCAAGCGGTCCACAACGGACGCCGTCAAGTTCGCAAGCTACACTTTTATCGACAAGCGCCGTTCTCGTGGCAGGGGACCTCATGGTTGATGGATCTCACCCTTTCCCTTTTCTCTCTCCTTTTTTGGTTTCCCCTCAGTGGCAGAGACATCGTGTGGGAGGGTCACTGACAGCTGGCTGGTCTGAAGCCCGTGAAGCCTGATGTTAGTCAGTCTCAATCTAGCGTTCACTGTCACGAGGGCAGGTACTTTCTTTTACTTTTCTAGCTTTCTCTGGGCATCTGGAGTCGAGAAGCTTTACGCTTAGCTGCGTGAACGTTGTGCTGACAGCAACCACAGCGGCACGTCACATCTCACTTATGCTTTTCTTATTCCTGAGCTGATGAATGTTGACCTTCTTGTCGTTCGTTATGTTGGATAGTACGAGGCCCATCCGAGGCCTTCGGCTGCATGAGGCCCGAATGATAGAGTTCTACATTCAATTCCCCTAGTCCCCGAGCCTTGTCGATGCTGGGTCGTTCTCTAAAACAATATCTGCGAAACGGCGGTCCTCCTCCCCGAATGAATCAAGCATGAGGGGCTCTCGACCTTATCGGATTTAGGCTACCGAAGAGAAATCAAGCAAGCCATGCCTCGGTCCACTCGATCCTGCCTCCCGCCCTTTGGATCTCCGATAAACGACATCGATCAGGCTACATGCTGGATGCGCCACTAGCCAGGGGAAATCCAACGGGATGGCGTTGTGGAGTGGTCTTCCCGATGGCTTGGCTGCCGCATCCTGGAGACCTGCGACCGTGCTCCTCCGGGAAGGGAGTCGTGTTTCCCAAAACGGACAGACTTGCGATCTGGACAGTCCACCTCGACCTGCGCCTCAGGAGATCCCATCGACCCCAGATGCATCTTACACGCCAAGGGACACCTTCGGGGACGTCTCTTGCTTACTCGAGTTGATTCGAGAGATGCGACTGGCCCGGACGTTGGGAGCTATGGGACGAAAGTGACTTGATGTGGAAACGCCAACAACGGCCGAGGCGGAGGTTTGCACTAATCGTCATCTCAACAACAGCCCAACGGCGTGGGTTGACGTGCAGAAACTCTCTGTATAAAGGTTGCGGCCAGACCCTATGACTTTATTCATCTCATCATCATCATCATCACCACATCTCATCTACAACACGCAGCACTCAGCTCGCTTACATTCCAAGCCCCGGTGGCAGTCATTCTCTTCCGCGACGCTGTATCTCAGTCTGCTCTGTGAGCCATTCTCTTCGACCTTTTCTCAAATCCATCACGATGAAGTTCTCCGCCATTCTTGCCCTCGCGTCTATCGCGGCTGCGTTCCCCACGCTTTCCGAGCCCGAGCTCGATGAGCGTGACATTCTTGAAATCGAGGCCCGCGATATCGAAGCCCGCCAGCGCGGCCGTGTCGGTTCCACCGCCAAGGAGTTCTCGACTGGCGGTTGCAAAGACGTCATTATGGTCTTTGCTCGTGGCTCTACCGAAATCGGCAACATGGGTACCATTTGCGGTCCTCAAACCGCCAACAACGTCAAGGGTCAATTCTCGAGCGTGGCCGTTGAGGGAGTCGACTATGCCGCTGGTCTCTCCACTAACTTCTTGCCTGGCGGCGCCGACCCCGCTGGTGTTGCGGAGATGAAGAAGATCATTGGCGAAGTCAACAGCCAGTGCCCCAACTCCATGATGGTCGTCGGCGGCTACAGCCAAGGTGCCGCCGTCACTCACCGCGCTGTCGAGGACTTGCCCCAGGCCCAGAAGGACCAGATCGTCGCGGCCTTCATGTTCGGCGACACCCAGAACACCCAGGACAAGGCTCAGATTCCCAACTTCCCCAAGTCCAAGACCAAGATCATCTGCGCCCAGGGCGATGCCGTCTGCAAAGGAACCCTCACCATTCTGCCGGCTCATCTGTCCTACGGCAACCAGGCTGGCAACATGGCCGACTTCATCAACCAGAAGCTCACTGCAGCTGGCGCGCAGAGGCGCAAGTAGACGCATATCACGATTGTCATGTTTATGAGGCGGAACTAGGGGGAACATTTCATGAGTATCCATGTACACACTGTGGCTTTGCATGCATTGAGCGGCGGCCTTATTTTTTCTTCTTGTTTCTACTTCTCTCTACAGGCATAAAGAGATATCCATTTCTACAGTTCACATATTTGGGAAAGGCATTTGAGTGTGTTATGAAACAGTGCAATAATTAGCTACCACGCCTCCTGGATTTGGTATTCTGGCGACGGAATATCCGGTGAGAGCTTGGGTTCGCCTTGGTACTTTACCTGAGGCTGGGTACAGATTCATGGGAGATGGGCAGCCAAGACACGCCCCAGACACTCGTTGATCGATGTGTAATAAAGAAGAAAATTCTCCGAACCTTGTGCTCCATCTTGAAAAATGTGTGCTGTGCTCTGTGACAGTTGATGAATGAAGGGCCCGGCATTTCGGGATTCAGAAGGACGGGGTTATGCTGGCGACGGGGAGGCGACTGGGAGGCGGAGGAGGACGTTGACGTACAGTGCTTATATAAGTCAATGTTTTGGTGACACTGTACGTACCTCTGGGATATCCAGCCCTTTCGTGCCTAATGACTCAGGCAGAGGCACAGCTCGTCGCACTGTGGTGCGGCATCTTCTGACATCCCGCTGCTTCTTCCTCCATCAACCGTCAAACCTTCAATTCCTCTGTCTCCCCGATGCCTTGTTCGATTTTTCATCTCCGGTTCGCACTTCGAAGCACATCAGATGGGATGAAGGTATCATCGATTCTCCCGTCGGCAATGCATAGAGGCGCTCAGCTGGAAATGATAAACACATGCCGACGGCGGCGGCAGCGATTAACCTCCATCAAAGGCCACCATTCCTCTTCAAGGCGGCCATGAGAATTGTGTGTGCGTGATACTCCACCAATGTGCGACGTTGCGACAAAGGGTGTTGCCTGTTCAGCTTTCGCCCGAACTTTTTGCCCACGTATGACGCTCGTCGGAGAGAGAAAGGCTGAAGCGTGGCCTTACGCTCCCAGGGCTGGCCGGCTGAAAGTCTGAAGACTCCAGATGGCATCCGTGCTCGACCTTTGCCATTCGCACCTCGGACGCCTTGTTTTCTCCGGACGCACGGGGCCTCGATGTTGCTTGCTGTGGGATCCGCGGATCAACGTGGACGGGACGGGGGGGAAACATGATTGTCACCAATACGCGGAGCCGCCTAGCAGAATTTATTCCATCAGCCACCCGTTGCGCCGATCTACCTAAACAAGACTTCGAGATGGAACAAGGCCAGACAGTTCGGGTCCGGTTGACCGGTTCGCGGCTAGCGACGCTTCGAGCAGTGTGTCCGAAGCCAAGCCATGCGTTGGACGGAGTTCATCCCTGGCGTCAGCTCGTTGCTTTCTTGGCGCCGCTGCTTTGGAAGGTGAGTGAGCGCAACCTTAAGCTTTCGCCCATCACCACATGCACCGCACGTGGGGAAAAGACTTCACTGGCAGCTGGCAGATGACGGCGTCGAGCTTCTTTTCGAACTCTAGAAGAACCTTCGGTCGACTTCAATCAGAATGGCCTGGCCGCTCGATCTAATCAATCGAGTCCGAGAATGCACACTTGCACTAGCAGCAATGCCCACCATAAATATCCATCAATGACCAGCGAGAACCCCGGCCAGTGTGCCCACCACGTGGGGAGATCAACACGGGATAATGGTACCAACGGGGAATCCGCCCGCTGATTTCTGCCCCGGAGAATCATCGCTGATTGACATCTTTAGCCACCGATTACGCCTGCTCCCTCTATGTAATTTCGCCAGTTTTCCTTGGCAGCCCACCTTTGCGCGGGATGCAGGACGTTAATGACGAACTCGGTGCCCGCTGTTTCTTCTCCATTGCCGCTCCCAATGGGTTTTCCTCTGCTGTCATCGAACTTGGCCGGGGAAACACCAGAATGGCAGTGCGCATCGTCGAACTCTCTGCTCTGGACGTTCGGACTCGTTGAGAAAATCGGATGATCTCGAGTGCTGCGTTCAAATTTGCTGCACCCTTACGATCTCCATAGGATCCGAACCGATGCGACCGCTCGTTTTTCGCACAGAAATGATCCATCACGCAAGACGCGACTCTTGCAATTGTCACTCGCTCAATTAATGCCGCCGCTACGATGAACGAGAAACCAACAACTGAACCACCGACCGTGGGCGATGCGCCGCGGCCCGGTCCCGACGAAGCCCCCGACCGAGCGCGGTGGCTGGGCGCTAATTCGAGGCGCGATGCTGTGATGTGGTGCAAGAGTGTATTTTACGAGGTTGTCCTAGGCCGAAAGACATTGCCGCCTTCGAAGAATGGTCGCATTATTCCACTACAGCTGGACCAAGATGCGCCCCTAACGGACGAACGACGAGGCGGGCATCCCTTCCTTTCGAACACCATCCGAACTTCCCGATACACTGTTTATGACTTCATCCCGAAACAACTCTTCTTCCAGTTTTCCCGCATTGGCAATTTTTATTTCCTCTGTGTGGGCGTCCCGCAGACCGTGCCTGGCCTTTCTACCACGGGAAACTTTACGACGATTTTGCCGCTACTTTTCTTCGTTCTGGTCACTGTCGCAAAGGAAGGATATGACGATTTCAAGCGCCACCGGCTAGACAAGGTGGAGAACGCGGAGACAGCGCGTGTGCTCAAGCACTCGAAACATCGCAACACTAGCTCGCAGACCTGGCAGTCTAAGCTTCGAAGCACTCTCCTGGGAGGCTCTCAAGTACTAGGCGCCGGCCAAGCAGTAGATGATGGGCCCTGGATAACAACGAGATGGTGTGACATCGAGGTTGGCGACCTCATCAACTTACGAAGAGACGATCCGGTCCCTGCCGATATCGTACTGCTCCATGCCGATGGCGAGAATGGCCTTGCTTATATCGAGACGATGGCCCTTGACGGCGAGACCAACCTCAAGAGCAAGCAAGTTTCGGCTGCACTAGAAGGACGCGATTCTGTCGAGAAGATCGTGGCCTGCGATGCCGAATTTGTGGTCGAAGACCCAAACCCTGATCTTTACAAGTTCGATGGTCGAGTGACTGTCAACGGAAAGTCGCTACCACTGACTTCCGCCGAGGTTATATACAGAGGCAGCATTCTGAGAAATACGGCGTCCGCGATTGGCATCGTTGTCAACACGGGGGAGGAGTGCAAGATTCGCATGAATGCTAATCAACACCCCAAGGCCAAGAAACCCGCGTTGGAGACCGTAGCCAACAAGATTGTCGTTTCCCTGGCGCTCTATGTCATTATTCTTTCTGTCGGCTGCTCCATGGGATATGTATTGTGGCAGCGGTCGCAGGAGAGAAGGACATGGTACCTGAGTGGTGCTGAAGTCAAGTTCTACGAAATCATCATTGGTTTTATCATCCAGTTCAACAATGTCATTCCTTTGGCGTTGTACGTCAGTCTCGAGATCGTCAAAGTTGGACAGCTACTCATGCTCAATTCCGATGTCGAGATGTACCACGCCGAAACGGACACTCCAGCTCGATGCAATACGAACACCATCCTCGAGAACTTGGGCCAAGTCGGCTACATCTTCACCGACAAAACAGGCACACTGACGGAAAACGTGATGAAGTTCCGCAAATTGAGCATTGCCGGCACAGCTTGGCTGCACCAACCGGACGTCGAAGTTGCAGATGGCGATAGCGAAAACAACAGCTCTGTAGACACCCTGTTTGAGGCTAAGGGGATCCCGCGCATTTCAACCCAGCACATTCGAACCGATGCCATCGTAGACGACTACGTTCAATCTCCTGCGACTCTCGGCAGACCATCGATGGCTCGCTCACGAGCACCGTCTACGCGAAGATCGTCTTCCCAGTGGAGATCCACGGGCCGTCCGGACCATGTGCAGCCCGACGTCACTACCAGCGATCTTCTAGAGTTCATTGCCCTGAGGCCTCATTCTCTGTTTGCGAGAAGGGCAAAAGACTACATCCTTGCAATGGCACTCTGTCATACCTGCCTCCCGGAAATCCGCAACGGCGAGGTCGAATATCAGTCTTCTTCTCCAGACGAGCTGGCCATGGTTAAGGCAGCACAAGAGCTCGGCTATACTGTTGTTTCGCGGACTTCGTCAAACATCACCTTACGACAGAGCTCGGAAGCCAGTGATGCAACCAAACACATGACATTCCAGATCTTGGATGTCATCGAGTTCAGTAGCCATCGGAAGAGGATGTCTATTGTCGTGCGGTATCCCGATGGTCGGATTTGCATTATCTGCAAAGGTGCGGACTCGGTGATCTTGCCGAGACTCAAGATGGCTAGCATGGCGTTGCAAAAGGCCCAGGATGTGAGGCAAAGCGCGGACCTTGAACGCGAACTTTTGCGCAAAAGTGAACAGCATGAGCCGAGAATCAGCATTGGTGGTCGCGCTAGCATGTCTTTGCGAAGAAGCATCGGAATCGCACGCGGTACCCCAGGCCCGAGTGTTCGGCCCCCTATGGACCGCAGCCAGTCTTTCGAGACGAGCAAATTGCGCAAGTCGGGCGACCTCTTGCGGCCGTCCATCAACATCCGCACGACTTCTTTCGAAGCTTCGGGGGGTTCTTCTCCCACTTTGCCATACCAAACACCCGAAAAATTCGCCTTCCTTGACGAACCCGCCATCGCCGATGACTCGACCATTTTTACCAGATGTTTCAAGCATCTCGACGATTTTGCCACCGAAGGCCTACGGACGCTGCTTTTCGCTCAAAAGTTCATCTCGGAGCAGGACTACCTCACCTGGAAGAAAGCATTCGACGCCGCATCTACCAGCTTGACGGATCGCCAAGACAAGATTGAGGCTGCAGCGGAAACGATCGAGCAGTCCTTCAACCTCGTCGGTGCTTCGGCGATTGAAGACAAGCTTCAACAGGGCGTTCCGGAAACCATTGACAAGTTGCGGAGGGCGAACATCAAGATCTGGATGTTGACAGGCGACAAACGTGAAACAGCCATCAACATTGCCCATTCAACCCGCATCTGCCAACCAGTGTCCGATCTGTACACTCTGGACGTCACTAAGGGAGACCTTCAGGGCCAGCTCGTGGCACTGTCCGAAGATTTGCACTCTGGCTGTATCCACAGTGTTGTCGTTATCGACGGGCAGACCCTGGCGACGATCGAGAAGTCGGACGACTTGACAGCCCAGTTCTACTCGGTGGTCCCCTTTGTCGACTCTGTCATTTGCTGTCGAGCCTCTCCGGCGCAGAAGGCGTTGATGGTCAAGACTGTTCGCTCCCAGCTACGAAAGCTGAAAGGTCGAATGGGCCACGGTCTTACACTTGCTATTGGTGACGGCGCCAACGACTTGGCAATGATCTCTGCTAGTCACGTCGGCGTCGGCATCTCTGGAAAGGAGGGTTTACAAGCTGCTCGAGTAGCCGACTATGCCATCGCTCAATTCAGATACCTTCAGCGACTACTTCTCGTGCACGGTCGATGGAACTACGTGCGTACGGCCAAGTTCATATTGTGTACCTTCTGGAAGGAGATGTTCTTCTACCTCCCCACGGCCCTGTATCAGCGCTACAACGGTTATACAGGTACTTCATTGTACGAAATGGCTAGTTTGACTGTCTTCAACACGTTGTTCACCAGTCTGTGCGTCATCTGTCTTGGGATCTGGGAACAAGACCTCAGCGCAGATACCTTGCTTGCCGTTCCCGAGCTTTATGTGTACGGTCAGCGAAACATGGGTCTAAACCTGGCCAAGTATGCTGGCTGGATGCTGTCAGCGGCAATCCAGGGCGTGATGGCGTACTGGGGCGTCTGGGCGGGTTACGTCTGGTTTGCGCACTCGAGTGACCAGGGCCTTTACGCCGTTGGCAACTTGGCGTTCACTCTTGGTGTTGTCTGGATTAACTACAAGTGCTTGTAAGTGGAAAATGCACACTTGTTCTTGTCTGGAGGTGAAGAATGAAGACTAACTCTGTCGCAGCATTCTCGAGACGCACCACAAATCGGGTGTCGTGATGGGATGCTTCCTCCTCACCTTCTCCGGATGGTGGGCTTGGCAAGGTTTCCTCTCGTCGATCTATACCCGCGCCCCGTCAATCTACGCCGTACGCGATGGTTTCTCAAAGACCTTTGGTCGGGATTGGACATGGTGGCTGACGTTGATTGTAATGGCCACTCTCTTCATCCTCATGGAGACCATTTTCCGCACCCTTCAGCGTTCTCTCATCCTCGCGGGGATGTGGAGGTGGCCTTGGGTTCGTAAAAAGGACGACGTTTGTGCGGATGAGTGGCGTTTGGAGCTTTGGCAAGAACTCGAAAAGGATCCTATTGTGAGGGAGAGGCTGAAGAGGTTGGCCAGTGATGAGGAGGAGGAGGCGGAGGATTGCGACGAGGATGTTGTGGTTGGCGAGTCTGAGAGGGCGGGTTGAGTCATTCCTTTGCAAGAGATACCCCTTCTGTTCTATGCACTTCCTCAATAGCTTGAAAATATGCAAGCTGCCTTATCCAACTGAACAAAAGACATTCCAGGGGTGTTCGGAGGAATAAGTCATGTATTCGCAACCTCGAGTCTAGCGCGGAGGTAAACTCATCAAAAACCCGATGGCTACTAGGTCCTGGGGTAGTATACAGGTGCTGTCTCCAACCCGGCGATGCCGGGATAAGGCTCTCCATACCGGATCCGAGGGCCCCACACGACGGAGCACCGGCCCGGGTGGGAGCTTACAGTGCCGTGGCAGAGGACAGTGCACCATACTCACAACCAATCATTTACGCCAAATTACGACAAGCCGGGACTGAATTAGTCCCATTCCAATCTGACAGGTGAAGTTCCCAGGAATTTTGGTTGGTCCCACGGCGCCATAAGCACTAAAACTTGCCATCTTCCTCCCTGTATCCATCCTGAAGGTACAAAGTCGCAAGCGCCACGAGGTAGGTACATAAAGAGCATCCTCTGCCGGCAAACCCGTTTCAATTGCGGCAGAGCTTTGGTGCACACGTAAATTCGGCTTCAAGACATCATGCTCAGCATTCTGGGGCCTGACGATGGCTTCGTGCCATCAGTGGCACTGCTCACCGCCATCCCTGTGATGCTGTACCTCGCCTATCTCATCAGATCGCCCGTCACCATGGACGTTAAAGAGCCGCCTCTATTACGCCCGACAGTTCCCTTCATCGGCCACATCATCGGTATCTTGCAACACTCGTGGCATTATCTTGACCTCGCCTAGTAAGATTCTCGCCAATCCCCCTGATGCGTGGCACAGCGCCAATACTGAATGCCTCTGCCAGTGCAAAGTCGAAAGCTCCCATGTTTACTCTACCAATGCTAGGCGGCAAGATGTACGTGATAACGGAACCCGACCTCGCACAAGCGGCACTCCGCAACCGCTCCCTCAGCTTCGATCCGTTTTTGAGGGACCTCATTAAAGGGATGGCTGGCGCCAGCGCGCAGACTATGAAGGCGTGGGACGATCCCGCGTTTTACGGCCCTTGGGTGAAGAGTATCTACGGGGGCATGGCGGGGCAATCGCTGCTTGGGCTCAACATCTCTGCCGTGGGAGGGATTGCGACTGCGTTGAACGAGATTGGTGACGACGTCGAAGTTGCGGATTTGTACATGTGGAATCGAGAGCTGTTCACCCTAGCCAGCACGGATTTGCTGTATGGAAGTAAGAATCCGCTCAGAGGAGATAAGAAACTCATCCAGGCGTACTGGTAAGTTCCTTTAGATGATACTCTGACTTGAGATGGAGTGGTCTGACATTGAGTAGGGACTACGAAGCAGACGTCAACAAGCTCATGCTGGGCATCTTCCCCTCCCTCGTCGCACCAAAAGGCTACCGCGGCCAAGCCCTCTTCCAAGAAGCCTTCAAATCCTTCTTCGACTCCCAACTCCACGAGGACGACGACGTCCCATCCCTCGTCAAAGATCGTCGGAGACTGAGCATGAGCTTCGATATGACCTCAGCAGAAGCCGCCAAGATTGAGTTGATCTTCCTCCACGGCGCCATCTCGAACACCTTTCCCTCATTCTACTGGTTCTTCACCCGAGTGTTCAGTCAGCCTGTGCTTCTTTCGAGACTTCGCGAGGAGGTGCGGGACGTCATTGAGGAGAAGGGGCGGGACGTAGTCGACGGGGAAGAGAAGAGGGTGTTTGTGCTGCATATTGAAAAGCTGGAGGAGAGGTGTCCACTGCTCATGTCGTGTTTTCGCGAGACGCATCGGTTGTATGCTGCAGGTGTTCTCGCGAGGAAGGTCATGGCTGATACGACTATTTCTGATGGGAAGATGAGCTTCGTCGTGAAGAAGGATTGGCAGATTTCTGCACCGCAAAGGATTTTGCAGACTGACTCTGGGATCTGGGGAGATGATGCGGTGGAGTTTGTTGGGGATAGATTTTTGAAGGTTGCGGAAGAGAAGGGGGAGGCGGTTGTTAATGTCGCTGTGAGAGGGTTCCTTGGCTTTGGAGGTGGAAAGCATATTTGGTAAGTTGCTTACTCCCACAATCCTTCTGTCGATGGTTGCGTTCAAGCTGACGATGGGCATATAGCCCCGGCCGGTATTTTGCGAGCGGTGAGCTGTTGGGTTCCCTTGCGCTGCTAGTTGCTGGATTCGACGTTACCAGTTCAGATGGGCAGGCACTTGTGGTCCCAAAGGTCACTGCTGTGCCTCTGACCGGATCCTTTGGAAAGCCAGTGCCGGGCAGTGACCTCAAGGGGCGGATGCGCAGGAGAGCGGGTTGGGAGGATGTCAGGTGGGAGGTTGCTGCATAGTTGATGATCGTGCAGAAGTTGGATCAAAGAACTTACCTGAAGGGGCGCAATTCATCTTAATACGCTATGCCTTTCTATGCATGTGGTTATCCCCAAGCTATGCATATCATACTGCCCGTCATCCATGCCTCGTTTGCAATTGCCAAAAGAATTTTGAGGCATTTACTAAGCACTTTTTAGTCTTTCCCGCTTGACATACCAAAGCCTTTCTAACAACTCTCCTTCATAATGGAGAAATGCTTCTTTCTTATCGCCATCGTATTCGGTCCAGAATATCCTCCTCTTACAGAGAAACGCTAGATCAAGGCACCCTCTCTCAACTCTCAACATGAGGCCCTCCGTACTCCTTCCCGCCGCTCTGGTGATTTGGACTGGCCCTGGCCGAGCCCTGGCGGCGTGGGACATGAGATATGCTGAAGAATCCGCCGAGGGTCTCTTCGCCAATGCCCCTTCAGAGGAGCGCTACTACAAGTATGCCCTTTTGTGCGCTATGAATTCACTGATACTGACTCTATTGCTTCAGATTCGCCTTTGCCGAACTTGTCGCCAGTGCGCAGAATCTCAATAGCCGACAACAAGCCCGAATCGCTGAGCAGGATGAGGAGATACACGAGCTGAAGATGATGGCTCTCAACCTCACGGAATCGATCGTCGAGGCGAAGACCAACGCGAGCAATGACCTCTTGCACGAGTTGCACAAGTTCTCCGAAACAATGGAGACCATTAGCTCCATTTTGCAGGCTCTCGCATCGTCGGATCAGTCTCAGAACCGTGACGTTCCGGGCCCTGACGGCGACGCGGCTAGGAACGCCGTCTTCCATGGCTTCAACCCTGTCATCATCAGGTTCCTAGAGCGCATCGCTACGAAGCTGGAGAAGCCGGAGTCAGAGTGGTCTGCAGACAAGAAGACCATGGCTACCATGGCCATCTTCACGGGTATCGCAACGGCTCTCAACTACCTGAGGGGGCCAATCGGCCGAACCGGCTGCTACAAGAAGATTGCAAAATGGCTAGGCTGCGCGAAAGAGGAGAAGCTGGCGAAGAAGGCTGCTCTTGAGGCTTTGGAGGGACAGGTGAATTATCTGTGGAAAGCCGCCGACAAGGGGCTTGCATTCATCAAAGCCGCCGTAAACGACAGGGCTAAGCATGAAGAGCTCGATCTGTTAAAGGGCGAGCTTGATGCAAAAGTCGAAACCCTCACTGCCCGTGTTGACGAGATGGCTACAGCCGAGAGAGTTACTGGTCTGGAATGCCGCGTTGACGTGATGGCTGAAGCCGCGAGAGTCACTGATCTGGAGCGCCGCGTATCCGAGCTGACTTCCATGGCGAACAACCTCGCAGCCAGCTTCAGTGAGCAAGCAATCAGAAGTATTGCCGAGGCTAAAACACTGAGAGACAACATTCTTGCCTTGGAGACGGAAGATCAGGAAAACTTAAGTCGGATTAAGAAGCTCCAGGAAGACGTCCAGCACATTGCTGACGACCTTGACGCTCATCAGGCCCAGCTCACCCATTTCATGTGAGTGCTAATACGTCTTCTCCGCTTCCAAGTCCTCACCCTTGGGACTTCAAGATGCCAAGTTCCATACGAGATGGAAATTGAAGATGAGGAAAATACGAGGGAATAAGTGGTTTTCGGGGTAAAGCATGACATTGTGGTATGCGTGGAGGTTTTGGGACGTCAGATTATCACTAGGCATTTTTACTTCTCTCCCGAGATGTCCATGTATCTGTTTAGAGAAGTGTCTCCTACTGAAAGCCTGTGGTCTCGAATCCTTACACACTCGTTACCTCTCCCTCAAATCAATGTTACCAGGCATAACGAACAGACCTCAACTTAGATGCCTTCCATATTCAATCCATCGCCTTCCATTCCGGCAGCCCCTGTTGTCACACCACAGAAGGTGTTTTGTTTCATGATCCGAATTCGGAAAATAGGTATTCGGATCGAGAAGCGCATCAACATTATGTACTTCGCTATCTTCATTCTTCCCCGTAACGAAGTTGCCAAGCGATTTTCGGGATAGAAACACGTCGGCGTCAAAACGATGCCACTGATATGTTGTGTCACAGCCTCTACATTCAACCTTGTGACAATCCTCAGCACCAAATGGTATAAACATGGTTTTATCGCGTTCATTTTCTCTGGCCATTGATTTACAAGACCTCCACCACAATTTGCACCCTTCCACCGGAGACTTGGCGCCAGAAACCGCGCCTACCCGACTATCCACCCCTAGACAAGCGCAACTTTGTGGGTCAAAAGGCCTCACGAGTTGCCCATCGTCATAGGTGACATGCGGGCAGAGTAGGTCGCCATACTCTTGACCAAACGCTCTCAGCTCTTGAGAGAGACGAACGTTTGTGACTTCTTCCTTCTCACTCACCCGAAAGACTGGTAGACACCAATGTAGACCTAAAGAGTGGTGCGATGAAGCGTCTTCATCCCGTGGTCGGCGTGGTGTCCTGAGCATTACTCGAGGGGCGTACCATGGAGTAAAAGAAAACATATGGGTGGGGTCGGACTTGGCCAGCGTCGAAGAAGCCTTTTCTCTGCACTCTTTGCAGCGCGCGAGGCAAAATCCATCTCCAAACTTCATTCGGGTGGTGTCGACTCCTTCTTGGTCTAAGATTGCCCGGCGAATAGAAGATGGCGATATCGCGATATGAGGGCAAACTCGGGCCACTCCTTCAGATCCAATACATTTGCGTGTTGAGGAGGGCTGGTTTCTTTGTTGATGAGAAAAATGCAATTTTGGGTGTCGATGTCCGCACTCGGAGCAGAACAGAAACCCGGTGCTGTGGAAAGATCGGCATAATCTGTTGAAGTCGGGCATCTTCCTCTTAGTTGAGCAGGCGACGCAAAACCCAGTATCCTTTGCTCGAATACTTGTCTCCTTGTCTGTGTAAAATTTCCCCATCACCTCTGATCTCCACAGTCTTGCTCGTCTATACTCATCCTTTTCGATAGGACAGTGGAATTCAGCGAACATTTTATCTTGGTAGATCCTCCAGAAGGTGAATGACACTTGGCGTAGCATATACATGTCGACAGTATTCAGTCTTTGCATGATACGCAACAGCAACTCATCTGGTAGCCCTACGAGAAGACTGCGGCGCAGGTTTCGATCGAATTCGATCTCCCAGCTCGATGGCCCACTGAAGGGCGTAATGGTTTGTGTTTCAGTCCTTTCGATCTGAGAGATGGTGGTGTGATCAGCGACTTCTGGAGCTCCCTGAATCTCTCTCAAAGCGAGTTGGCTTGAGCTTTTCGCTCTAGGTGATACAATACGAGAGCTTGTCGTTTCGATTGATGGAGTATTAGTCTGGTTCGTAACTTGAGAGGCTTCCTGGGCCTTGTCTGACTCCAGATGACTTGAATATTTCGCTTCAGACGGTACAGTAGAGGAGCTGGCCGTTTCGGCTGAAACCTCCACCAGCTTTGTATTCATCCACTTTTCGACGCTGTCTTTGACCAAGCCACAGAGTCCGACAAATAGTGCGCACAAGAGGCCCATCTTGGTGGCAAAGGGTTGTAAAGTTGAATCTGGCGCTTGATAACTCGAAAATATTTCAAAACTGAAGAGTGCGTATTCAGGATTGAGGGTATGGACTGTAGGCTACCTTAGTTCAATGTGTGGTTCATCGTGGACAATGCGGCCTTTGACAGATGGGAATGCTGGCATATTATACTCATCACGTCACTATCAAGGTTCTATTGTTACTGAATTATGAACTCACGTGAGCACCCTGACACGGCTCACCTCGAAATTCTGCAGTTCTGGTCATCAGGGTGATTCGTGATATGGCAGCGCCGAGATCATAAGGTTTCGCCTTTAGCCTATAAACGATTTGATACGTTGCCGGCGCTACCCTGACCAATAGGTGACTGGATATGTGTTCTTCCATTCTCGATATTGTGTGATCCTTTGATTCAACCTGGGCCTTCACGCGATGTCTACTTGCCATGATGCAGAACCAACGGAGCTTCTGCGACCTCGAGAGGATTAATCACATTATCTCTAGGTACCTGTCTTCGACATCGAGATTTCTGCATCGTCTGGCAGAAACGTAGTCTTGAACCCAAATCGAAAGCATCTATGCTGATTGTGCGGGTGCTTCACTGTGCAACACTGCTTTATTCAGACCCATGTGCCAAAGGGTATGATCCTGACTCCTGTGTCGGTCAGAGGTGATGTTGTGTAATCCACAACGGACGCAAGTCCGCCGCCGCGAGCATTGTTGGATTCATCGCCGCAGCTTCTGCGACGCAAACATGCATTATTCAAACCGCGGTGAAGACTGGAAAGCCTGCGCAAATCCTCGTTGGGACAGGGGGCTTTCTTCGACTGCAGGACCGTAGCAAACAATCAACTTGCGGCACAGAGCCAATAGGCCAGGATAAATCGTCGGAGCTTCCCCCAACGGGTGTCGGAGAGTGGTAACCGATCGCAAAATGACATGACCCTGAAGCGGATTCAATTTACCGTACGGCCGAGACTTCAGGTGGAGTGGAGTGACATGTCCGTAGTAGCTGGCGAGAGATACTGCATCCTTGGTATTGTCTCTCTGTGGAATGCAGCAAGTGCTTCTCGAAGGAATTTGATCGTCTCTCGATGCGTTCAGCTGCGTGTCCACTGCCGTTGGGGCGCACCTGAAGTCGCGGCCACAGTCTCGTTTCGTCACGTCTTGCGTTCTCACACAGAAAATGAGACACCAATACCTAAGGGTCAAAAAGCTTTTTTTACTAACAAAACAGAACTTTTACTTTGGTGGTGAGACCTGTGAAATCTAAACTTAGATATACGACATCTTGAACACCTATCTCTTTTCGATGTCCGCATCATTCCCATTCACGACAGGCCCCTCGACCTCTACATCCTTGGCCGGCTCGGCCCTGCCGACAATCTCTGAGCTACGGAAAAATACCACCACAATCGTTAGAGAGGTGATGCCGAGCGCAAAGTTCATCCAGTTAGCGGCCCGCAACCCGTCCAACGACGGTTGGTCCCACTCCAACACCGGGCCCGCTTCCTCGACCGATACACCCCTGGCCTTGGCCATGATGGCCGTCTGGACGGCTGTGGAGATGGCCAGGCCGATGGAACGGCCAACTTGCCCTACAGAGTTGACGAGAGCACCGCCAAGAGCTTGGTCCTCCTGGGGCAGGGCCTTGGAGACAAACAGGATGAGGGTGGGCCATGCCATGTCCGCGCCGATGACTGACAGGATCATAGCAGGTAGTCCATAGGCGAAGTATGATGTGCTCGTGGGGATCGGTGTTGCGAAGAGCAGGCAGGCGATGGAGACGGATACGTTGCCGCACACGAGGAGTATGTAGGTTGGCACACGCGAAATTAGAAGCGCAGCAGCCCAGGCCACCATAATTCCGCCGATGCCGGTGGGAAGGAAGTACAGCGTGGTCGTGAGAATGGACTTTGCTTGGTAGTCCTGGTAAAAGTAGGTCGCAAAGATGAGGAAGTTGTTGAACGAGGCGAAGAACATGGCCATGATGGCGAGCGCGGCACAGAACTTTCCGCTGTGGAAGATGGAGGTCTTCATGAGTGGAAGGCGATCTGTCTTGAACTCAAGGTGACGCTGCCAGAACCAGAATACTCCCATAATCATGAACGAGATGACGATAAGGACCGAGATCCAAGGAGTTTTCCAGCCAACGACGTTACCCTCAGTGAGAGCCAACATCAGAGCCAGGAGGCCAACGGTGATCAAAGCTCCACCGATCCAATCAACCGATTTTCTAGCGCTGGCACCCTTCTTAGGCAACGTTGGAACAACGGGAGGGATGAAAAAGATGCCCGCCACAGCGACGAAGCCTGCTAGGATAGCCATGACGCCGAATACCCACTTCCAGTTGGCGTACTCGGCGATGAAGCCAGATAGAATGGTGCCAAAGGTGCTTCCCAGGGGTACGCTAGCTCCGTATGCCACGAAAGCATACGTCTTTGCCTTTCCAGGCGGGAATGTTGTCCCAAGGATTCCGATAGCTGTTGGTACGTTGGCGGCGGCGCCTAGACCTTGTAAGCCGCGGAAGACATTGAAGGCGATCTCGTTGGGGATGAAGGGGTTGGCGATGGTCATGACGGCGAGCCAGGCGGTTCCAGCGATGAAGATGATACGCTTGTCATAGATGTCGGCGATACGGCCCCAGAGGAGCAAGAAGCATCCGAATGTGAGAGAGTAGGCTGAGACGATCCATTGGAGACGCGACTCTGGGATACCAATGTCGCGACCGATAGTGGGGAGAATAATGACCACGGCTTGTACTGAGAGAGTCTACATGTCATCGTTAGGCTGTTCGGCAGATGTTGTACCAAGGATTACATACGTTCATGAAGCTGGCACCGCTGACGGTTGTGACGAGGGCGATGCTACGGGCCTTGGACATGCCCTGCTTCTCTGGCCCGCTACTAACACTGCTGGACTCATCATCGGTCTGGAACCCATGGCTAGACATGACTGCTGATGTCTGAACATCTTTCTCCGGATCTGTTACCTCACCCAT